AAAGCATAAAAAAATGAGAACTTTTTTTTTCTTTTATGCATTTTACTAAACTATTTTGATTATTATACATAACTAAGAAGAAAATCTAATTGGTTCAAGGAACACTGCTGCCTAGGCAATAAAATTATAGGAATCAAATTCTGCCTCTCTTTTAGTAAGAATGCTATGAGAATGAATAATAGCAGATTGATGCTTTTAATACATAATTCGGATTTGCTAGTATACAGTGAAACTTCTGACTAAGATTCTAGCACAGGGACAAGAGAGGCAGATTACAAACTCAGTTCTGAGTGCACTGAGTCCACTACGCATATGTTCATGGTACCACCATACTGTATTTTCTCCCACTAACATTGACAAATGAACACACAGGCCAACAAACATTTAGGTTTGAAGTCTACTCAAAATTTAAGAAAATCTCCTTCCCTCTGACTCCCGTAGCAAGACTTCCCAATTTAAGAAAGCTGCTCTAAAATCCTTCACCAGTTCCATGGTAGAACACTTCCTTTGAGAATTTAGAGGGTTTTGTAATATAAATTATTCCTTTGATGAAAGACTCAAAGTAAATAAATATATGTGACTTACTTTAAATGGCTTTATTTTACTAAATTGATATCTCCTTTGTATGTCAAACTATTCCTATTGATTTTTACTTAATTGGTTTCCTATTCAACAACAGAAGCTCTCCCATTTCAATAAAAACATCAAAGTGTAAATATGAACAACGTTAATATCTGTCACAAATAGAAAGACACTAATCTTCCACCATAAACTTGTTCAATGTATGAGGTATTAATTATAATTATTCATTTTAGAGTTTAATTGCTATTATTCGAATAGAGTTGTTACATAATCACAAATTTAGTTTGTGATAATTCCACTTGGTAATGTATTTAAGTTAGAAATAGAAAAAAAGGGGCCTGTTTTGCAATGTGGATAAAAGAAGTATGTTTATCTATTTAGGAGAAATATTTTAATGTACTTCTTATGATATGATCACATAGTAAGTTAAGCTCCAAACTACTAAATTCAGAGTTTTATATACTAGTTACAAATTCTTCTTTCTTTTAAACATGGAACACTTCACAAATTTGTGGGTCATCCTTGTGCAGGGGCCATGCTAATCTTCTCTGTATCGTTCCAATTTTAATATGTGTGCTGCCCAAGTGAGCACCAAATTCTTCTCTCTTTATTTCATTAAAATTCTAATAGGTTCAATCCTTCCCTGCTCTAGTCCCATTCCAGCTGCCCTCAAATAAGCTTTATACTTCTTCACTAAGGATAGGGATTTGAAACTATTCTCATACTCTAGGTAACTACCAGAGTTTAATATTTTTTTGTAACTGGACTAGAAACTGGTGTTAGAACTTGAATTATAATTGTTTGTTGCTATTTCTACTCAGAGAAGGCAGCTAGTCTTCCCTAACAAAGGGGATGGCCAGAATCATGCTGAAGTAGGGCCCAATCACAGCAGGAAACCAATGCTGACATTTAGGAAATACTTGAGTAGTCTGATCTCATATGTACCAAAAGATACATCTTTTTTTTTTTAAGTTGATAGTTTGAATTATTCAATATTTCAGAAAGATATTCCTAGGGAGACTGGACATATTTCATCCCGTTGAACAGGAAAAGAGTATTTAGGATTAGCTGGAATGGTCTCCCTGAATAGAGGGATGACATGTATCAAACTCAAACATATCTAATACTTTCTCTAAGTCCTATCTTTCCTAAGTCAGATAAAGAAATCAAAATTTTCCAGAGGCCCAAAGTTGGAAACTCAGATTCATCATTTAAAAAAAATTTTTTTTTAAATTTATTTCAGAGAAGAAGAGGGAGAGATAGAAACATCAATGACAATAGAGACTGCACGTCCCCTACTGAGGATCAAGCCTACAACCCCAGGCCTGTGCCCTGCCTGGGAATCAAACTCTGACCTCCTGGTTTATAGGTCTTCGTTCAACCACTGAGCCACGCAGGCTGAGCTCAGATTCATTCTTGATTCCTCCAGCTCCTTTCTACTCCTCATTTGGTTAACCAACAGAGACCCAGCAAACACCACTATGAATTGCTGCTTCCTTTCCAATTAGTTTTCAACAGTTTCAGTTAAGAAAACCAAAGGTCTAGCAACTAGACTACGTAAATGCCACTGCTCCTAAAGATGTCCACAAACTGTCTGCTTTGGGCTACTGTGACAGCCAACCAGCTGACCCCCCTGCATCCCGCGCTGTATTGGGCTCTGTTGCCTTTGTTCATCTTTTGAGTGTTAGAGTTTTTGGAGTTCCGTTGTTTCCCCTCTCACTGTCCATTCTGTACTTTCCCCTTGGGCTGTTAATGAAGGCACTGTGGATTCAAGTGCCCTTAATATGATGATAATCCTGCAATTTTTATCTCTAGCCTAGATCATTATCTCAGGCTTCAAACCTGTAAATTCTCTAGCCTAAGAGATGTCTCTTGGAGGTCCCACAGACACCTCACCTGTTCTCATCAATCCTACTCCTCATTTGTGGTCTCAAAATGAAACTTCCATCTGCCCAGGTGAGAGCCAGAAACCAGATACTACTCTTGAATTCTTTCACTCATAATCTCACATTTATTTGTCACTCAGATCTGTTCATCTTTCTCTACACTCACTGACATATCAGTCCAGGCCATCATTAAATTTCACCTGGATCACTGTACCAGACTCCTCAACAGTCTCCCTACCCCTAGGCTTGTCCCACTGCAAACCTGGCTACACACGGCAACTGGAGTGATTTTTCTAAAAATGCAAATACGGACAAGCTCTCTCTCTTGCTTAAAATCCTTCAATAGTTTACTGCTGCCCTTAAGATCAAGGTACTAGTGCTTAACTAATCTATAAGGCTCCTCAAAGTTCCTCTGGAGACTCATCACTAGCCACTGTCCCTTTAGCTAATTAAGCTCTGCTTTTACATTTGGTCTCTCTGCTTTCCACTCTGGATCTTTGAAATTCTTTTTCCTCTTCCTGGAATAATATTTCTCTCTCTCCCTGTCTCCTTTGCCAAACTCATCTTTAGATGCCAATTTGGATTTCATTTATTTCCCTGAAATGCCCCTCCCAAGACTGTGTTTGGTGGCCTTCTGATTTGCTCTGAGAGAACACCCTGTTCATTTTATATGGTTCTCGCATGCTTCTCTCTCCCTCCCCCCCCCCCCCTCTCTCATTAACCGTACCATGAGTTTTTGTTTTTGTTTTTAGGGCAAGAGCTTTGTATATAATGGTATCGTAGGTGCCTAACAAACCTGATTGCACTCTATAGTTTGAATTCAGGTCCTTCTAAAAGATGTCTGACAGCTCTCCCAGGCCTTCTGAATAAAGACTCCCGTTTTAACGTGGCACACAGGGCCCCTCTCCATGTGCTAGAAGGTACCCTCCCAACGTCATGTCCAGGAACTTCTGCCTACGCTCCTTCTACTTTCTGTGTCTATTACTCCGAACACCTCTGCACAGGGTTATTCTGATGCCTCCACACTTTTGCTTATACTATTCCCACTTACGACTTTTCCCCAACCCCTCTTAGCTGCAATTCAGGCACCTAATGGCTCTCTTCTAGGTCATCACGGAACTGTACGTTTCCCCTGCTACAGCACTTCTCTTGCTGTATTACAGTTATTTCTCTTTAATGCCTCGCTGGCTAGACAATGAACTTCAGGAAGATACATGTTATGTATACACAGTTTGAGATGCCTGCCACAGGGCCTGGCTTCTAATAGGGCTCAACTACTTGTCACATTGAAGTAATTAAAGCACATTTAACTCTCTTATTAAGATTAAGGCAGAAGACAGGTAAGGGGAGAATAGTTCATTCTACAAAGTATAAAAAATGAAAATGTATAGTTTTATATACTTTGTTTAACCCTAGGAAGAATTTGGCTTCCTTCCTAATCTACCCCTTTATGTATACTTGGCAAGAGAATAAGAGCATGAGTGGAGAAAAAATGAGCTGGAAATGTTTTATGAGTAATGATCAACTAAAACTTTAAAGGAAAATTTAATGACAAAAGCCCAGAAAGCTGTGATTTGAATCCCAGCCCCATTACTTTCTGATCTTGTACAAACCGCTATATCTATCAAGCCTTGGCTTCTCCATCTGTGCAATAGCAAAATGATAATAATACATATTTCACATCTAGGATTATTGTAAGGATTAAGAGTTTATATATGTAAAATATTTAGAACAAAGCATGGCAAACATTAAGCAGTTATTGTGTTAGATATTGTTATTATGGCATATTACATTTAATTCCTATAATGACTTCAACTCTAGTTTTTAACTCCTAAATTCTTCCTAATTTTCTTTAAGGGTGATATTAACCAGGTAATAAAATAAATGAATTTCAAAATCTTTGTTGGTTTGGGTTTGAAAACTGTCAAATTTAAAATGTGGATGCCATAAAATTAAAAAGGGATGTATTTTAATTCTTAAATCACCATCATCATTGCTAAAATAAGAGTTCTTATTAAAATTTTATAATACTAACATGTGATGTAATGATATTAATAAAAATTCCAGCTTAAAAGCCACAAAGATGATTTTCAAATATTTTGATATAGGCTATAATCTTGATAAGTAAATAGGTTATGATTTAGCTATATTTTTTTAAAGTACAGCCAAATCTTGATTACCTTTAGTCTCTGGAGACATGGATAACTTAGATATTTAAAATCCATTTCAGAACTTCATCTTTAGCCTCTTCTCCTACCAAGCCTTTACCACAGTTCACTTAAAGGGCTAATTTGCATTTCAATCCCTTGTTTTTTCTTCTTGAACAATGAAATAGCAAAATAAATAAATGAATAAAGTTTTGACAATAATATAGGAAGGAAGGGCTAATGTCTTTGAATAATCAAGAGTTGGCTGCACAGCATTATGTTTATCTTAAGAATAAAAATAGTCTCATTCTCTTTCATATCTTTAAATAAAGTCAAAGAGGAGTTCCTATGCCTTAACATTCCTAGTCAGAGTTTCTCTGAGTACCTGAAAGAACCCTGGTGGTACAGGACCTACTGGCATGCCATCTCCTGGGGGAATGTTTCCTAGCACTGGACTGGGAGCTGCTGCAGCACTCTGCAAAGAATAAAGGAGAAACAAACCTATATCATTACAGAGAAGGCACACAACCAAAGACTGATGATCATAGATTATAGGAGGGGAAGTTTTTCTCCCCGGGAACAAATATTGGTAATTTCCCCCTCTACAGAGGTAAATGAAGATACAACAGTTAGTTTAGTATATGACTAACTTATTTGGTTTAAACAGGCCTCTAAATTTTCACAGAACTGTAATAAGATGTTATATTTGAATGACATATAAAAAAGAATAAATAGTATAAGAAAATGATAAAGGTTTAAACAAATGCTTTAAGGCACAGGCATCTAAAATGGCAGCATCAGTAACAATAGGTAAATATGTAGGCAGTAAGTTTGAAAATGGTAGTTGCAGGAGTTGGAAAACAGAACTATCTTTTTAGATTATGCTTTTCTGTATGTCATAAATAAATTAAGTTTCTGCCTATAGTTGGCAACACATTATTTATTCTCTCTCTGATAGACTACAATCAGTAGCTAAGACATATTTGGTAGTAAAAATAACATGGTGAGTGTAAAAGAATAATTAGGAGACTTAATAAGAGAAAGGAATTAGATTTGGAGATAATAGTCTCATATAAACAGATTATTTAAGAAAACAGGTTGAAAAATTAAGTCTACTTCACTTGCAAATTATTTCATAGAATCCTAGGGCTTCATGACATAGAAGTACAAAAACCTTTGGTTTTAGAGTTTGTAATCAAATCAAGGTTTTAGATTTAATTCTTACACAGAGCAGTAATATATACAATTGTTCTACAACCATGGATTTCATCTCTCCAACTGGGTAGACATATTACAAACACAGAACAGTCAAGAAGAAACCAGAAATACGCTAAAGACAGATTAGTATAAATCCAACTGTTCTGCTATGAAAAAAACTCAAAACAAACACTGGATTTAGTGGATCTGTGGCACTACCCTCACCTATTCCTTCATGTACTAATATCCCAAAAGAAGATGTAATATCTCAGAACTTTTGCAGCATATATCTCCCAGTATGTAAACTGATAAAATAATAATGTTTATTCTATAGCACTGACAGTTATTAATAGTGAAGGCCAATGGTTTATTTCCTGAGGAAATCTAGGTGTAAATTGGCTATCTAAAATGTTGCTTACATCTGATAAACACCTGATAAAGCATATAACTAAACATCTGATAAAACATATAACTAAACATCTGATAAAGCATGTAACTGTAAAGGAAGTAATATTTCTTAAACATTAAGATGAAACATTAACATATAATATTATTCTATTTTAAGCAAAAGCATGCAATTTAATGTAGGGTACATTAATTGAATACCTACCATTTGCTAGATATTGTTTTATTTCATTTCATATGTCAATACTCATAGTTTTAAAAACTGAAAGGCAAATTTCTTTTTTTCATTTTAACTAAAACTTGCATAAAGACTAAATATAAAATATTAGAGTAAGAGGAAAATTTACCACCTAACATGTATTCTCTTTTAGTGTAAATGTATTATATGTGATTAAGGGAAGATCTGGGAAGAAAGCTTTGATCTGCATCCTTTGACAGTCAAGGGAAGCTGCTCTTAGTATCAAAAGCTAGACACTGGATGTCATTATTGTTCTAATTAACTGCAGAAGAGAAACTTGTGTTTGCAATACAAAAGACGTAAAAAGATACAAATGTGTAAACCACATTCACTATCTATATATCTAAAGGCCTAAGCAACCATCTGACCATTCAACATTCGAGCAGTAGCTATGATGCATACTGACCACCAAGGGGCAGATGCTCAACACACAGGCATGGAAACATGGAACAGACTGATGAATCTCAGAGGGAAGTGAGGGGGGGGGGGAAGGGAGGGCAGGAAGAGATTAACCAAAGATCTTAAATGCATAATAAAGGCCCAGTGCACAGATTCGTGCACTGGTGGGGTCCCTCAGCCTGGCCTATGGGGTTTGGGACTGAACTTGGCAGTCCGACATCCCCTGAGGGGTGCTAGATTGTGAGAGGGCACAGGCCAGGCCTAGGGATCCCACTGGTGCATGAATCCTTGCCTCTAGTACATGTATAGAAATGAATACTAAATGTTGATCAGGTTTATAATACCAAAACAGAATGCAGTGAATTACTGCAACTTCCTAGTATAATTTGAAGATAAGATTTCTTCCTTAATTCTAGTTGCCTAAAAAGTATATAAAAGAAGATTTTGCCTACCCAAAGGTATAAAAATGTTTATTTGCAACTAAATTAAAATTCAAGAAGTAAAGATGCTGGGCCATCATTGGCTCCTTTACTTATCTGGGTGACTACATAGTTTAAAGATACCTAAGATGCTAATGTATTCTTCCAAGTTCTTTATTAGACATGTTCCTTATGTTTTTTTCCAGGTATTCTTTAAAAGTGAGACATAATTGTCAGATGATGATTTTAGCAATCTAAATCCTTAAAATAACTTTAAATTTAATTTCATGATTTCAAAATTATTTCACAAAGTCAATCAAAATATATTGTCAAGGACTCTTTTAAGCTGTGCAATATAACAGTTAACATCATTGCCCTTTATTTGCTTTAAAAGAATGAAATATACAGATTTTTATTTATTTTTTAAAAGTATATTTTATTGATTTTTACAGAGCCTCTTGCACACCCCCTACTGGGGATGTGCTCGCAACCAACGTACATGCCCCTGACCTGAATGGAATCCGGGACCTTTCAGTCCACAGACCAACACTCTACCACTGAGCCAAACCGGTCTCGGCGAAATATACATATTTTTATTGTTGACAGTATTACAGATGTCTCCCATTTCCCCCCACCTTTGTCCCACTCTGCCCAGCCCCTTCCCTCCCTCAGGCTTTCATCACACTATTGTCTGTGTCCATGGGGCTATGCATTTAAGTATATAGGTTCTTTGTTTTATCTCTTCACTGTTCACCCTCCTCCCCCAACCCAGAGATATGTCCATCTGTTCCATGACTCCATGCCTCTGAAACATATAAAGTGGCTAAGAATTGGTGATCTAAATATTACAGATATGTTTGCCATGCAGAAGAAAAAAAAGAGTGCTGTGATTAGCTGGTAATTTCTACAAAACACTTTTTCATATGAAAGCCAAGAAGCATGGGAAATTACAGAAAACAGAAGGGAAGCAGCTACTGATGCTAAAAAATGTTTTAAGTACAAGAGAAATGCAAAAAGACCCTGATAAACGCAGTGATTTCATTCCTAAGAATACTTCAGGAGGCAGCCTTTGATTCAGTTGTTAGTTTTCAGGACAGCAGCCATATTTCCTGGTTCCTTGAATTCTATATTTAGCTTTAATCAGAAATAATAGATTATAAGAAAATGGTCTGACATAAGGGATTTGTTTTGAGACCATTACATTCTAAATGATGTCTTCATAACTGTACGTGCACCCCAAATATTAGGTGCCAAGCTATTTGATGACACAAAATTTTGAACTTGGTGTAAATAATCCCCAAAGTGATGATTATAAATTATTAAGAAAACTCATATTAATAGCACATAAAAGTTTCTGTTTAAAAATGAAATGAAATGGGGATATTTATGATACCATTATCAACATTCATATACTGTGTTTACTAGGTATACCAGTTAATAATGCGAATTTTCTCAATAGATGGAGTTACATATATGTTGATATATATGTGATTGGATATGTATACTCTTTTGTATTGACAACAAGCTTCAAAACTTCATATGTCAAATTTTCTGAAGGTGTTAACATAATAGATATTTTTAAACTTAAAAATGTCGGGCCTCCAAGATGGCTGCGCCCAGGTGAATACCTAGCTGCAGCCGCACACAACAATTTCAATAAAATACAACTAAAATATAAAACGGACATTACCCAGAACTACAGGAAAGTTGACTGACTGGAAATTCTACAACGAGAAGCAAGGAAATAACCAGAAGGAAGCGCAGAGGAGCTGGAAAAGCCGAAGGTACGGAGACACGTGGCGCGCGGAGAGGACGGAGCTGGAGAGGAGGGAGGCGGAGTGCCTGGCGGGCCTTCCCAAGCAGGAAGGAGATAAAACTCTGACTGTGCTGGGCCCCATTCTGACTGCTCTGAACCCAAGCCTAGGCCAGACCTTGGGGACTCAGGCTCAGCCAGAGGGAGCTGGGCTGCGAGGCGGAACCCGGGGAAGCTGCGAAAGGAGGTCCTGGCGGTGGCGCCCAGTGCGCCCAGAGAAGGGACGGCCGGCTGTGCCGCGGGATTGCCTGGCGGGAAGGAGACAGAGGTTCCAGACTGCTCTGAACGCCACCTCCAACCCCACTTCCAACTGAACTGAACCCCAATACCGGGCTCATTGGGGAGAGCATCGACTGTTTGGCAGCAGGCGATCGAGGGCGCCTTTCTCTCAGAGGCGCCGGCAGCGAGCACTGAAGGACCCGCATAGGGCGGGGCTGACGGAAGCCAAAGCTGCAGGCTCCACCCTGTAGCTACGAAATGCGACAACGAAATAGATCACAAACGAAAGAAATGGAGGACAAAAAGCGGCTGGATATAGAGTTCAAATCTACGCTTATAAGGTTTTTCAAGAATTTCCTAGAAAAGATGGATAAGACCTATGAGGATATGAAAAGAAATCAACTAGAATTAATAAGGAGTCATCAAGAAATGATAAGGGAACAACAAGAAATAAAGAATACATTGTCTGAAATAAAAAATATTTTACAGAGTCCTAAAAACAGAAGGAAAGATCGCAAGAATCAAGTCAAAGATTTGGAACATAAAGAGCCAGAAGACACTCCTCCACAGAAGCTAGAAGGCAAGAGAATCCAGAAAATTGAAGATAATGTAAGAAACCTCTGGGACAACTTCAAGCGAACCAACATCAGAATTATGGGGGTCCCAGAAGATGAGAGAGAGCAAGATATCGAAAACATACTGAAAGAAATAGTGACAGAAAACTTCCCCCACCTGGGGAAAGAATTAGACTTACAAGTCCAGGAAGCGCACAGAACTCCAAACAA